CTGTCTGGATGTGGTCCGATCACACTGGCAGGTCATAAACGTCCTAGGTCTCTGTCTTGACTTTAGATCTATATGCCCCATTTTGGAGCTCATCCCCACACAACTCTAATCAAGCGTCTCCTACTTAAAGGATGTAATACCTTGCTTCGTGCCAGTCTCCAAGAGTGTGTTTGCGTGTTGGTGGTGGAGAGGTTGTGTGTGAGTTTTGAAAGGAAAGAGAAATGTACACATCATCCGACTACATCAATTCAGATTCTGTAACATAGTCGATTTATTTTTTTTTCTAAAGTTTTTTTTTTTTTTTTTTTTCTGAACGTTGATGGCATTTGCTACCAGAAAAGTAAAGAAGGCAAAAAGTTTTGGAAAGGCTGCTTGCTGTAGGGCTCACTGAAGGAATGTCCAGTGCATTCCAAGATGAACTAGAGAGCTCTGGGAAAGCCTGAGACCTTGACCTGGACATTTGTTTGGGGTGGGATTGAATACGGAAGATTGACTTCTAGGTCCAAAGATAGAGAGGCTGGCAGAGATGAAGGGCAATTTAATTATCTGGTAAATGGAAATATAAAAATAGACAGAAAAACGAGTGCAGGAGTGAGAGAAGCTTGACGCAGTGGTGGTTGTGGTGCTTCGAGGCAGATGTGCAATTTGAAACCCACTGTGGATATCGCCTGGATAATCCTCTTCATATACCACATCTGGCCTCTCTGACAAACCACGGATCCATTCTAGTGGACAACAGAAGGCAGTAAATAAAATGATAAGTCTTATGAATTGATTTCTTTACGAAATTTTAAAAAAAAAAAAACCAGGATGAGGCAGTAGTACTTTTATTGCAGCAGATGTCTGTCAGTAGCCAAAACCTGGGGACTGAACACTAACAAGTTAGGAGTCTTTAGCTTCAGGAGAGAGGGGTGGAGATAAAGTTTCCTTCCCATAGGATTCCCAGCCCTGGGGACCCTTTGTTTACCATTAGGATATCTCAGCTGGAGCCATGGTCCTTAGGAGGATAAGTCCTTCTGTGACAGCCACAGCCTGGTGCCTCTCAAGGACCCTTGTGCCATCCTTATCTATACCCTTCCTTCTTGCTTTGGAACCCACTACTTGGCTTCACATTTTTGTTATTACCTGCTGGTGAGTTTCACTACTGTCCCGATTTTTCACTTGGAAAATGTAGTCTTAGAATCCAGGGTCCTTACAGAATCTCTTCTGATATTCCCAGAGTCTATGCACAGAACCAGAGCCAGAGAAAAGAACAAAGAATAGGACCTTCTCTTGCTGGAAAACAGGAGAGCTCATCTGTAGCATTCTGTTAGGAAGGCTAGGAAGCAGGGCTGCCTCACTCCCCGGATGAGCGCCTGTATGGCCAGGCCAGCCACTTCCTGGATCATGTCTAGGGATCAGGTTGTCAGAAGCCCTCTGGCCTCTATACTCTTTCCCGCTGAGCTATCTGGTACACACACCATCTCCTTTCTCTCATCAGCAAAACAGTCATTCACTTATTCAACAAATTATTAAATGCATTTTGTGTGCTGGCTATCCTCAATCTGCTTCTATTAATCCAAACATCACCTTGTAACTTCCCCAGTATCCAAGATATGACCTTCCCCTTCCAAATTCCTCCTCTATCTTACTCAAAACAGGCATGCTTACAGATGAGTTTGACCACTGTGGAAATATTCTCTAGGGGCTCAAAAATGAATAATCTGGTTAGAGTCCTTGTGTTTAGGTGCAGCTTCTTTTGCATATTCTCCTGTTTATAAGAAACAGTGTCCTCCACCAATATAGTTCATTTAAAAAATAACTAACATTAAATTCAAACAAAAGAATATTTGAACATAAGTAAGGTAAGGAGCCAATTATTCATTGTATACTGAAAATCTCTCTTTTTGGGAATTTTCTCCTGTGATCAAAGCTGAATCTACTCTGCCTTGAATATTATAATTGTGTTGTAATTAGACGTAACTGATTGTTCTGAGTGGACTCCTCTGTTGCTTAGTAGACGTGAAAAAAGTACTTTTTCTCTCCTACCATGGACAATTGTCTCCCTTGCTAGGAGAAACCCACTAATGCTTCCTTTTCAAGAGCAAATATCCTTTCCAAGAGGAATAATCCCCAGCCCTGTCATTGCCTCTGTATAAACATCTCACTCCCACCAGATCCCTCTCCCTGTCCATCTCATCACTCCGAAGTTGGTAAACACAGAGCTGACAACAGAACCCCAGGCACAAAGAATCAGGGCAAGAGGTGAGTACTTTATTTATTCACCCATTTAGTTTTTCATGTGGAAAAATATATAGTGGTATCTACCACACCTTAGACACTGTCAGTCTCCAGGGGTCTTTAGAGAATTTCAGCCTAGTCAGCTCAAAAAAAGGCGAATTATGAGGTTGGTACAATATTAATGGCAGTTTTTGCCAATAAAAGTTTATGTTCCAAACACATATAATAAATAATATTTATAAATACTACCTATAATATATAAATAGTATATGTTGTACAAATGTAAGTATAAATATGTGTACAAATACATAACAATAAATACTTTTATATATTTATATGTTTACATATTTAAATATGGAGATACATATGTATACTCTATACTTATATATAAAAATATAACGTACATAAAGAATATATAATGTATATACTAAAATGTATATTCTATAAAATATATGAGTAAATCTATGCACTTATATGTGTTATTTAAACTTATACATATTTGTACTTATATAGATCCATAAGTATATTGTAAATACAAGTATATATATATATATTAATAAGTATATATAAATATAAAAATATAAAGAATGTGTGTGTTTACACCTTAATACTACATTACAGGTACTACATGAGAACAGAGAGAGAGTTATCTAATGCTACAAAAGGAAGTCAGGAGACATTTGTCAGAACAAGTTATATTTGTACTGTCTTAAAGGATCAGCAAGCATTTACTGGTTGGAAAAACAGGAGTGGTTTTGCCAAGAAAGCAATAAATATAGAAGAATAAAAACAAGAGAAGTATGCATGGGGAACTGAAGAAAAAATGATATCGTCATGTTGACTGGGAAAAGGTGGGAGTGGAAAGGTGCCAAAGCAGGAAGGGCCTGGCTAAAGATAACGTTACAGTGTGTTAGGGTCTACCAGGGCCAAACATAGGGAGACAAGGGTCTCCCCACCTTGCTTCCTCCATTGAATATACATTGGCCTTTTTTGTCTTTTAAACTTGTCAAGCTGCTCTCTGTTTCAGGAAATTTCACTTGTTCTTCCTCCTTCCTTGAACGTTTTTCTCTAAGATAGCCATACGCTTGCCTTCTGGTTTTGATTGTTTCTCTAAAATTACCTCCTCAGAGAGGTCTTCTCTGACTACTGTCTGTAAAATGCATCATTCCACCTTCTTCCTTTACTCCATTTTTCTTCTCTGACTATCTTATATAAAATGCATCACTCTCACCTTCCTCCTTTGCTCCACACTAATTTATTGCATTACATTACCTTGTATTGTAATGTGTGTGTGTGTGTGTGTGTGTGTGTGTGTTTGTTTACTTTTGTCTCTATTTTGTTTCTGTTTGCTGTATTTTCAGTACCTAGGTACAAAAGTAATTGCAGCTTTTGCAATTGAAAGTAATGGTAAAAACCACACAGTTATTTTTGCGCCAACCTAGTAGAATCATATCTGCCATGTAATAAAATTTCAATATGTACTTATTGAATCAGTTAATAAATAATTACTGAAATAAGATTAGTAATGGTAATGCTACATATCTAATAATTTATTCAAATAATATTTAAAGGGTTCCAATGATGTGGTGGCTCAAAAAACCAATGCCTAGAGCTAAAAATAAAATTTAAACAGACAGTCATGGTTTATGTCCACAAGGAAGTCACATTATAGAGGCAATACAGAAACTGACAATGCTGCAAGGAAAGTATCACCATAATTAATGCATAGTGAGCTATAGGAACACATGGGAGAGGGGGCATCCAAACTAAACTTGAAGAATTTAAGAAAACCTTCTGAAGGGTATAACCCAGCTGATATAACCCAGCTGAGGTGGGATATATTAGTAGAAGTTAACTAAGCAAAGATTGAGGGAAAGCTATCTCAGGAAAAATTATTTTTATTCCAGGAAGAATGAAAATACAAATGTCTTCATATAAGCAAGAATACTAGATAAACTGGAAGAATTGTTTAGTGTTATTAACACTGTGAATATAACAGAAAATTAGGATACATAAAAAATAGGATATGCGCAGAGAGAAAATAAGGTAGGGTCTTGAATGTCATTTTAAGCCTTTTTTACTTCATATAAAACTTGTCTATGTATATATCTCTCCTCCTATATAGTGTCAATTTAATAGAGTAGTACAAAAGAGAATTCACTGGAATAGTCCAGAAAGAGTGATCTGAATTAGAACAGTATAAATGAAGATGATGATGAGTAAACAAACTTTAGGTATTCAGTAAACAGAAACCCCAGGACTTGTTGATTGGTTGTTTAGATACCAAGGAGACGTGTGATATGGAGAAATCCAACATAAAACATGATACTTGACTTGGGCCACTGAGATAATGAGAAGTACAGATGTTGCTAGATATATGAGTCTGGAAATCAAAAGAGAGGAAGACAAGTTCTGGAATTATATATTTGATATTTATCAATATATGGATGGTAAATGAAATCATGAGAGTGGATGACATTGTCTAAGGAGAAATAATAGAATATGGCCAGAAAATGGCCAAGGATGAGAAGAACTGTACTTAAGGGTGGAGCAATAAAGACACACCAGCAAAAAGGCTGAGAGGAACAGCAATAGTAGTGATACAGGGGGAAACTGGTGAGGGCAATGTTATCAAAGAAAGTTCAGTAAAATAGTGAGAGTGGTGGAATTGATAAGGGTGGAGTAATACTAAAGGTGATGATGACCGTGGAATTGTTTATGATGTTGTGAATGTTAATGAAGATGAAGAATTAATAACCAGAAATATCCATTTATTTTCAGCTCAGTCCCCAAGGATGTTGGCCCAATATTCGTTCAGTCCTCAATTCATGCTACTATCCAACATTACTCAGTTTAGCCCCATGTTCTATCTCACCAGCTTTCCTGGATTGGAAGCCATCAAACACTGGATTTTCATACCCTTTTTCTTTATGTACATGGTGGCCATCTCAGGCAACTGTTTCATTCTGATCATTATTAAGACCAACCCTCGTCTGCACACACCCATGTACTACCTACTATCCTTGCTGGCCCTCACCGACCTGGGGCTGTCTGTGTCCACCTTGCCCACCACTATGGGGATCTTCTGGTTTAACTCCCATAGTATCTACTTTGGAGCGTGCCAAATCCAGATGTTCTGCATCCATTCATTTTCCTTCATGGAGTCCTCAGTGCTCCTCATTATGTCCTTTGACCGCTTTGTGGCTATCTGCCACCCTCTGAGGTATTCAGTCATTGTCACTGGCCAACGAATGGTCAGGGCAGGCCTAATTGTCATCTTCCGGGGACCTGTGGCCACTATCCCTATTGTGCTCCTCCTGAAGGCTTTTCCCTATTGTGGATCTGTGGTTCTCTTCCACTCATTTTGCCTGCACCAGGAAGTGATACAGCTGGCCTGCACAGATACCACCTTCAATAATCTGTATGGACTGATGGTGGTAGTTTTCACTGTGATGCTAGACCTGGTGCTCATCGCACTGTCCTATGGGTTCATCCTGCACACGGTAGCAGCCCTGGCCTCTCCAGAGGAGCAGTGCCGTGCCTTTCAGACATGCACTGCTCATCTCTGTGCTGTGCTAGTATTCTTTGTGCCCATGGTGGGGCTGTCCCTGGTTCACCGTTTTGGGAAGCATGCCCCACCTGCTATTCATCTTCTTATGGCTAATGTCTACCTTTTTGTGCCGCCCATGCTTAACCCTATCATATACAGTATTAAGACCAAGGAGATTCGCCGTGCCATTATCAAGCTCCTAGGTCTTAAAAAGGTCAGTTCTGAGTTCTGGGGCTAAAACTGCCCCTAGGTGCCTGTAAGAAGGCCTCAAACCGGACTGAAAATTGGGAGTATTGGGTAAGTATTATAATATCCCATGCTCTCAAGGTTTTTTGCCCCTGTCCTAAATAAAGTATGGGCAAATTTATTTTGTGTGTTGTGGCTTTAAAAAAAACTGACCTCTCTTGCTTAAATTATAATGTTTTCTCCTATATCTGAGAACTGGCATTTTTGGTAGCATCAAAACTGCCCAGAAGGCAGCTTTATTGAAGGTCATCATCAATGTAACTAAAACTTTAAAATGAAACTAAATAAAAACTAAAAAGGGCAATAAATAACAGAGCACCCAGGACAGAGGCTGGCAGAGACCAGGTAAATGCCATTTGCTCTAACTCACCTCTGGAAATACACCTTCCATGGCTCCTTGGGACTTCTTCAGTCTTCTCTACCTTGCCAAGTTACTTCTCACCTTTTTCTATCCTGGTCAGCAATGAATTTCAGACCCCCAAGTCATATCAGAAACCTCAGAACTCCTGCATTCTTCCCCAACACCTGGTTCAAGCAACACCCCCTCCACCCCCACCAAAGCTTTCTGAGGTTGTTCCTCTAGAAGAAGACTTTGACCCTATCCTTGACTCCTCTCATCTCTGATTTTACCTTACAACCTCAGTTCCGACATTAAGCTAAGATCAGCGTTTACTTGTAAGTGCTTTTGTTGTGTGATATTGAACAATGACCTGTAACATGAGAAAGCTTCAGCCAAGGAAACTCTCACAAACATGTGGAAGTCAAAATCTCATTGCTCAGGAGGAAGCAAACTTTATGTAGGCTAACCAGCCTGTCCCTACGAGTGACTAAATGCAATCCGTGTGGGAGTCTCAGCTTTGAGGTTGCTTCCTCGAGGACTTTTCACAGATAGCTCCTCCCTTTCCAATAGTGGTGCACCAAATGTGCCATCTCTTTGCTTCCACAGTGCCCTGAATTTCCTGTTATAGCATTTGTCACACAATAATATCCTGTTTATGAAGGTGTGTGCATGTGTCCATTAGAAAGATTAAATCAAGATCCTTGGAGGAATTATGCATGCCTTGCTCTCCAGTAAACCTATATAAATACGATTCCTGGCCCACACTATATACTCAATAAACAAATACTAAATGTGTTGGTGGACATATGGATACATAAAGTGGGATCCAGAGCTAACAGAAGCTCTCTTCTTGTCTTGAGTAACTTCTCTTCACATTCAGAAGCCCAAGAAGATGCCTTTCTGCTGGCATTCATCAAGGTGGTGCCTTCTTAATTTTCCCAGTTCTACTTTACTCATGCCCACTAGATCCTCCACCCATCCTCCTACAGGTTAAAATTGCCATACGGCCAGAAATGGTGGCTCATGCTGTAAAAATGTGGCAAAATTTTTTTCCTGTTTGCTCACTGTTCTAAATCCAGCTCCTAGGTCAGTGATTAATAAATATGTGTTGAACTATTTAATAAGTATATATTATAATTTAATTGTGTTATTGTTCATAATTTGAAGAATGTAAGCACATAAAATGTCTAGGACAAAAATGTTACATAAATCAAAGCATATTCATTTGATAAACTATTTTTTATAAAATGACATTTAAATGCTTAGGAAGCTGTGTTAGCAAAATATTAAATGAAAAATGATAAACAATATTATGTACAAAACAATCACTGTGTAAAAGGCTATAAATATTTGTATCAAGAGGAAAACAGCTGTTATATATAATCTTATTTTCTATATGTATTTCTCCATCTTTGCCTTATACAAATTTTTTGAAGAAGATATTTCAGCTTTATAATCCAAAAAGAGCAATTTACAATGACTATAAAAGGTTATATATGATTATACTGAAGATGACGATGAAGCTGGTAATTATGATATGATAAATGCTAATATTTATTAAGCATTTAACTCATGGTAGGCAGCACTGAGTATTTTTTATTTTCATTATTTCATTTAATTTTCTCACCAAACCTGTGAAGTTGGGAGGTATTATCATTTTCAATGTTTTAAAATCAGGAAACTGAGGTTCACAGAGGAAAGGAACTTTCCTTAGTTAAAGACACAGGCTGCATAGGTTGGCTTAGTAAGACTCTGTGAGAGGAATGAGACTGTCGGGGCCCTGAGATTACACCTGAGTCCTGAGACATTGAGTTTGGAAAGAAGCAGAATAGATCTTTTTGTGATCATTTGGACAGATGAAGAGAATTACATAATGACAATAAGGAGATGGAAAATGGAGAGGAGATCGGATGAGGAAACTTAACGGGCATCCTAATTTTGCTTTAAAAGTTAGAGGTAACTTCTAAAGAATGGTAAAAGCTTGAAAGCAGTAAGTTTATACAAAGAAGAAAATTTGACAGTAGCAGGTTTTTAAAGCAGATGAACATTTTATGTTTGAGCTATATAAATTTTTATGAGAGAAATATTTTTAAGCCTATCTTTTATTACCTGTTCAAGAACAGGAGTAGGAAGAACCTTTGTTGAGGCTTACTATCATAGATTTAAGTAAATAATTAAATGGCATTAATTAAAATAGTGCAGAATGCAGAAGAAGAGTTTAGGCTACTGGTGAGGTCAGTGGATAATCAAGGGACCATCAAGTTCAGGCATTGCAGAGAGGCCAGAACATGCAGCAGGAGACTGGTGTCCAGTTATAGCAGAAGCCCTTGTGCTAACTGTCCAGTTAACCTTCAAACACTTTACCATCTTCCCCAGAGTGAATAAGCCTTTTGAAATTGACAATGCCCTCTCTATCAAGTGCCAACTTGAGCTTCTCTACATTCCTGCTGACGGGCTTCCCAGGCCTCGAGTGGGCTCACCAGTGGATCTCACTGCCCATTTTTGTAGGATACCTTGTGGCCCTTGTGGGTAATGCCACCATCTTGCATCTGGTATGAACCGACTGTTCCCTCCACCAGCCCATGTACTACCTCCTGGCCATCCTGGCTGTGACGGACTTGGGCTTGTGTATGTCCATGCTGCCCTCTGTGTTGGGCGTGCTGTGGTTTGATGCTCGCACAGTGAGCTTGGTGCCCTGTGTTCTGCAGCAGCATTTCCTCCACTCTTTCTCCTTCATGGAGTCAGCCGTACTCTTTGCTATGGCTCTGGACTGCCTAGTGGCCATCCGATTCCCACTGCGCTATGCGTCTGTGCTCACAGGTCCCCGTATGGCATTGGTTGGGGCTGTGCTGAGTGTGCGAACTGCCGCCATCACTGCTGCACCTTCATTGCACCTGTTAACATTTAACTACTGTCGCCCTGGGGCACTCTCCCATGCTTACTGTCTTCACCAAGACATGATCTGCCTGGCCTGCTCTGACACACATTTTAAGAGACTCTATGGGCTGTGCATCATTATGCTGGCCATGGGCGGTGATGTTCTTTTCATCCTGCTCTCTTACACTGTCATCCTCCGCACGGTGCTGGCCATTGCCTCTGCAGGGGAGCGGCTGAAGGCCCTCAATGCTTGTGTCTCCCACATCCTGGCCGTGCTCTGCTTCTATGTGCCTGCACTAGGCTTGTCCATTGTCCACAGGTTTGGACACCATACCTCGCCCTTGGTGCACATCCTCATGGGCACTGTCTCTGTGCTCCTTCCACCCTGGATGAACCCTGTTATCTACAGCATCAAGACCCAGCAGATTCGCAGGGCCATTCTCAAGGTGATTTCGCTGGGGAAGATAAAATGACAAATTGGGGATGGACCATGCAATTCAAAATAAGGAATTAGTTAATAACTCTAGAACCCTCTTACCACAAAGCAATTTTGTTTGCTTCTTTTCACTGATAATATATCATGAACTGACTCTACTGTTAAAGTTGATGCTTATTACTACTTATGTATAAATGTATAAATATATAGTCACTATTTTCTTACATGAAAAATAATTGTTATTATTTACAAACTTTCTTGTTTGGAAGCTCAGAAAGATTGTTTTATTTTTAATTTTATGAATACATAATAGCTGTACTTAATTTGATGGTTTACAAATGATATTTTGGTACAAGTATACAAGGCATAATGATCAAATCAGGGTAAGCGCAATATCCGTCATCTCAAGCATTTAATATTTCTTTCTGATAGCAACATTTCAATTCTACTTTTTTAGTTATTTTGAAATATACAATAAATTATAATTACAGTTGCCCTATTGTACTAAAAAACGCTAGGAGTTATTTCTTCTACCTAACTGTATTTTGGCACTCATAATCAACCCTTCCTGATAGTCCCCTCCTAACTACTCATTCCAGATTCTAGTAACCATCGTACTAGTCTCTATCTCCATGAGTTCATTATTTTTAACTCCCACATAAGAGTGAGAATATGTGATATTCCTGTTTCTGTGCCTGGCCTATTTCGTTTAAAAGAATGTCCTCTACTTTCATCCATGTCGTTGCAAGTGACTGGATTTCATGATTTTTATGGATGAATAATGTTTCATTGTGTATATACACCACATTTTATTTATTCTTTCATGGGTTGGTGGACCTTAGGTTCATTCTATACTGTGGTTATTATGAATACTGCTGCAATAAACATGAAAATGTAGATATCTTTTTGATAGACTGATTTCTTTTCTTTTGTATATGTACCCAACAGTAGCATCACTAGATTACACAGTATTTTTATTTTTAGCTTTTTGAGGAAACTCCACACTGTTCTCCACTGTGGCTACACTAATTTACATTCCCATCAAGAGCGTATGGGGTTCCTGTGTCCACATCCTCATCCACATTCGTTATTGCCTGTCTTTTTTTTTTTTTTCAACTTTTATTTTAGATTCAGGGAGCCATGTGCAGTTTTCTTACATGGGCAAATTGTGTGTTGCTGAGGTTTGGTGTATGAATGATCCCATTGCCCAGGTAGTGAGCATTGTACCTGATGGGTAGTTTCCCACCCTTGCGTCGCCTCTTCTGTCCTCCCCCTTCTAATTATCATCATTTTCTATTGTTTCCATCTTTAGTCCATGTGTACTCAGTGTTTAGCTTTCACTAACAGGTAAGAACACGCAGTATTAGACCACCCTGGCCAACATGGTGAAACCCCATCTCTACGAAAATACAAAAATTAGCTGGGCATGGTGGCGCGTGCCTGTAGTCCCAGCTACCTGGGAGGCTGAGACAGGAGAATTGCTTGAACCCAGGAGGCAAGATGCAGTGAGCTGAGATCATGCCGCTGCACTCCAGCTTGGTGACAGAGTGAGACTCCATCTAAAACAAACAAACAAACCAGGCAGTATTTGGTTTTCTGTTCCTGCATTAATTCACTTAGGATAATGGCCTCCAGCTGCACCAGTGTTGCTGCAAATGGAATGATTTTACTCTTTTCTATGAGTGCATAGAATTCCATGATGTATGTGTACCATATTTTCTTTATCTAGTTCACGAATGATGGGCATATCTTGTCCACCATTGATGAGCATTGATGCCATATGCTTACTATTGTAAATACTGTTGGAACAAACATATGGGTGTATGTGTCTTTTTTGCAGAATGATTTATTTTCCTTTGAGTATATCATCCAGTAGTGGGATTGGTGGATTAAATGGTATAGTTCTATTCTATGTTCTTTGAGAAATCTTCAAACCACTTGCTAGAGTGGCTAAACTGATTAATATTCCTGCCAACAATGTATAAGAATTCTGTTTTCTCAGCAACCTCATCAACATTTGCTATTCTTTGTCTTTTTCATAGTGGCCATTCTGGAGGACTCAGGACAAGAAGGCCAACTAGATGCAGCCAAGAAGTGCTGCATTCTGACTGGTGGGAGATGGCATCTCATTGTGGTTTGATTTGCATTTCTCTAATGATTAGTGATGTTGAGCATTTTTTTCTGTATTTGTTGGCCATTTGCGTGTCTTTTTTCGAGAAGCGTTTTTTCATGTCCTTTGCATATTTTGTAATGGGGTTACTTGGTTTTTGTTGTTGTTGAGTTGTCTAAGCTTTTTACAGATTCTAGATATTAGACCTTTGTTGGATTCATAGTTTGCTAGTATGTTCTCCCATTCTGTAGGTTATCTGTTTACTCTGTCGTTAGTTTCTCTTTTTGTGCAGAAGCTCTTTAGTAGTTTGATTTCCACTTGTCATTTTTTTATTTTGTTGCAATTGCTTTTGGGGACTCTGTCAAAGTCTTTTCCAAGGCTAATGTTCAGAATGGTATGTCTTAGGTTTTCTTCTAAGATTTTAATAGTTTTAGGTCCTACTTTTAAGTCTGTAATGCATCTTGAGTTGTTTTTTGTATATTATGAAAGGTAGGGGTCCAGTTTCTTTCTTCTACAATTTGCCTGTCTTTTGAATAAAAGCCATTGTAACTGGGATGAGATGATATCTCACTGTAATTTCGATTTGTATTTCCCTAATGATTAGTGACATTGAGTGTTTTTATATACATATTGGCCATTTGCATGTCTTCTTTTGAGAAATATTTATTCAACTCTTTTGTCTATTTCAAATCAAATTACTTTAAAAGTAAGGGCTGAGTTCTTTCTTCATGTGCAATGCATGCTAATGATGTCCCCAGTGCTCTTGTAATTCATAACTATCATGCCACGGTTCTATGCCTGCTTCCCATTAATGCTCATCTGCCAAGTGACTGCTCTTCAAGAGCCTGTCTTATCTTTGATGATATGATAAATCTGCCATTTGAGAGATGAGTGTCAGCATCAACCCTTATAATTCTAAGATAATTCATCAGATAAGTGAATTGTTTCTGGAGGGTTGTCTGCATTTTACTTTTAGTGAAGTAAATGTCTCATTAAGATAAAGAGTAATTTTATGCACTAATTTGACATTTTTAAAAAGAATTACCAATAATCTATTAAAAATAAAAATGTCAAGAATGATCTCATTTTGGCAAACCCTTTGATACGTGAATGACTCTTCATCATTCCCATTTGGGGATACAGGGAATAGAGGCAGCACAAAAACTGAAGAAAAATAAAATAACAGAAGCTAAACTAAAAAAATTATAGTAAAGAAATCTAAAGGCCTGTTATGTGTTGCATATATGTAACAGTGATTTAAACTAGGTGCCATATCTGTTAGGCACTCTGAGTCTACTTCTGTCTGTTATATAACAAAAGTATTCCAGACCTGTTCCAGATCCCATGCAGTATTATTTGGAGTAGAGAGATGAAATACACTCGTTCCCTGATCCAAGAAGTATCATAATGCAGGACATAGGTAAACAAGCAAACAGACCATTACTACATCTTACATCTTACACATACATCATACAGTCCAATTCTGAGCAGCAGGTCTTTGCTGCTGTCTCCCGGATATTACTTGGGACCATAGTCTTGAGAATGTAGGACTTTTTAAAACTATCTACTCTTACTGAACTGTGGTCTCTTTATATAAGCTATGGTGTCTTTCTTAAGTGTGAAAAAAAGAAGAGACAGGTCTATATCTGATTGATTTCAATATTCAGTGAGTTTTGAATCTTGTAGTTCAAATGTAATACCCCATTTTCAACTCCTTCCTACACAGATTTTGGTCTCTGGACCTTATCGATTTTTTAATGTATGTTTTAGATTTGCCTATCATGAGAATTTAAGCTTTCCTTGAGGTCCCTCCATACCTTTCATTTTTTAATTAAATACGAAATAAAGGTTAGTCCTGCTTATCTGGTCAACTATCCCTTGTCCAAAACTTCATATTTTGTAATATACTACCTAATCACTTATGACCCAGTTCTCACTCATTATTTAGAGAAATTAACAGATTTCCCACGACCAAGCAGTAGCACTATTCTAAAAAAACAGAAATTACGCTTTCTCTGAATCTTATGTTCTCACCTACTTTCTAAGAGATTATTAATGTTTTACTATCTAGCAATGTTTTAATTGTGACAGTTGTATGTGATAGCTGACATTTGAATGAAAAAAATTTCTTACTATCAGGACTCAAACAAGGTTAAAAAAATCACCCAAAATGAAGTGAACAAATGTTCTTTGACTTTTCTGGTGCCATATATATTTCTTGAGTTGTCAAAATAAGAATGCCTGTCACATTATCCATGAAAAAAACTAAAAGAGTAATGGTTTATATGAATTTCTGTTTTCATTATTAATATTATGACATCAAAATATGTGTTCTAGACATGAAAGCATAAAGAATTCCACAAATCATTCCCCAAAATATGAAGAATAAAATGTGATAAAATTGTCAAAGGTAACCATCTCAGAGATCAAAAACTGACCAGAGTCAAACAACAAATTAAGAAGTATTTATGCCTGAGAAACTGTTACAACATTTAGTAAGATAAGTGAGAGTCTGTGCCATCTTGTCAGGGAGGCTATTTTATCCCCAGCATCCAGTGTGGTTTGTGAGAACTATAGTTTTAATAGCATACAGCCTGGGATTCCTACTGGCTGAAAAGGCAAATATGATTTGAGTGGAAGGTGAAAATCTGCAGCAGTATTCTCAGTAAAAGTAGCAAAGTGAGTGCTAAATGATAAATTAATGGGGGAAACCCACATTTTCTAAAACTGTGGTCCATGTTGGGGTAAGTAGCAGACTAGCCTACATTTACAGAGAGATCTTGGAATTGGTAGAGCCAGAAAAGGCCTATTCCCCACAGCTTCATAACTCACTAGGGAATTATAAACATGTGCAAGAGAGACACAAGGAAGCCCACAAAAAGTAAAAATCAAGGCAGATTTGAGAGCCAACTCATCTTTTAATGCAA